CAAACATGACACACGACTCAAGGAAGCCAACTTGCAATGGTGATGAAAACGGCTCTTCTTACCCACAGAAGTATATTTTTCTTGTGAATGTTTTTGAAAATGGTTCATCCATATGCATGTCACTAAGATATCAGTTAGTGAGCAATTGTTCAAGGATCCAACTACTTACGTATTTGACAGATACTTTTAATTTTCTTCAAAGAGCTCCTTTATTTTCCTACACCACAGCTGTTGCAAAGCACATCTCACTGTCAAGCAACATTGGTGCTGTATCTGTGGCATGCAGTTCATGCCAACCAACTCCCATGGAGTATTCGAGAAGACACTCAAACATCAGCATCAAAATAGGCAAAAAAAATTAGCAGGTGAGCAGAAAGAAGTTCTGCCCGAGATAAAACAGTAATCATTGTGTATGCAAATGTACAAGTGATTTGGTTCTACATGTACCAATTTCACTCCACCCAGCAGAAGAAAGACTTACATTTGGGTTTGACTCTAAATTCACTTGATGATTGAGCTTCTTGCTCTGTTTTCTACCTTACTATTAGTCAGCTTGACAATTAGTCCTTTTATTTCTTCCAATGGAAAAACAGAACCCTAATTTATTGGGTTAGGTTCACCAGAGGACACAGAACAGTTCTGTAGTCTAGAATGATCACACTGCTTTCATGCGCATAATCTAATTATAAGAGTATTGCCCTCTTAGTTCATCAGTAAAAATTATTACAGCTTCTCTATGTTTAAGGCACTTGAAGATATAAAGTTGTTTTTTTTTAACTGTGGTTTATTCTTTATTATTTCATTAGTTCCTAATTTCACAGGATACTTAATCTCTAATAAGCTAAAAAGGGTTTGAGTAAAATGAGAATTTTTATGACCAAAAGCATTCAAAATTGAATACTCAAGTTAACTTTTGTATTTAAAAAAAAAAACATTTTATTTGCTTTCAATTTACTCCTCTTTACTTGCAGGCTTACATGCACTTTGGGAGCGTGACCATACACTGAAAAGGTTAACAATAGAAACTTTTCCAACCAGTCTTTTTACTTGCATTGTCCCCCTACCATGACCATATTTAAATTAAGTAGTTGTGATGAATAATGGAAACAATCTCATTCACGTGTTGTGAATTAAATGACAGAAACAACTTATGCAAGACTCAATTACTTTATTCAAAATGTCCTCTTGGACCACATACAACTGATGGAATAACACAGAATTAAAGGAATACAATTCTTTACACAGAAATTTATAGTCGCCCTTGATTTTAATGACAACATAACACATCCGTAGTTTGTTTAGTTATCCCTGTACAATACATAAAATCCTACCTCATCCCGAAGAAGAGAGATTATTTCTCCACTGCACCATTAATGAAAAGTTTAAAAAATGCCAGCAGCAGTACTGCCACACTAGCTGCCATGTGAATTATTCTGCTAACTTTTCTGATGGGCTAAATTAAGCCAAGGAGTTCCCTGGACTAAGAGGAATGCCACCCAGAGGCATTCCTTCAGTTAAGCAAATAGAAGGAAAGCACCTTGGTGACTTGGCAGAATCCTGCTGTCATACACCTGAAGAGCTACCAAACAGCTTTTATTTATTTACTTAAATGGGCCCATGCAGGAGAGAATCTAGGACTATATACATAGCAATTTCTGATATTTGGAAAGAAGGGAGCAAAGACAAACTGTGGAAATATTAGGAAAATCCTTCCTGATTGATCTCCTGACCCCTTCTGACAAAGAATTCACACATTTAGATCCTGGCCATAATATCTGCATACCAATGGCATGGATGTGCTCCCTCAATCCCTGCAGGCAGGTGGAGAGTACCCCAGTATTATCTCCACCTTTCCTCCAGAGGTCAGATTCTCATGTGTTTTGGAAATCACACAGGAAAAAGGACAAGATGGAGAAAAGATGTAGCTCTGCACTGCTATCCTGCACCTTGCATTACAGCTCTGCTTTCTGCCATGACAGCCATCTCTCATTTAAGAGCAAATTAAGGCATGAGGGCACACAGTAATTGTGCTCCTCCTGCCTTCCCTCATCTCAGCCTGTTCACCTGAGCTTCTTTCACATGCACGCCTCTTTTGCCTTCTTCAACTTTTAGTAACAAGCAAACCCCAAATCAGTAAACCAGAATATGATGGTGGAGAGATAATGAGCTCCAGAATTTCCTTTTCCAAGGAGCCAAAATTCCTGGTCTCACCCTTCCGGTGGTAAATGAGATTCTTGCTGGAGGACGTCCTGCCTCAAATCAGGTGGGTTTTTTTGAGGTTTCATCCCTTGACTCCCTTCCAAATGGAATCAAATTTCAAGACAGGCTACACTAGACCATAAACTCTGACAAACTTCCATGATTTAAGTTTCGCAATCCTTCTCCTCCCTACTTTCTCTTGGCTGGGTTTTTACATATAGCCAAGAGGAAAAATCCTGCTCATCATCAACAACAGGGAAGCCAGGAGAAGATATATGCCTACCACAGGAGTGTGTTATTCTGCAAACTTCTTCACTGAACACCAGTATCTGTTATTACAAACAACTTTCTTCACTTCAAATTCGTAAGGAAAAAAAAAAAGAAAACATCAAACAAAAGGCATCAAACAACCATATACTGGACAAGGGAAGTACAACATGGACATCAGAGAAAGCATGTCTTACGATTTCAGGTGTCCCACTACTGCAAGCTCTTTGAAAAATACCTGTAGAAACCTGTCTTCAGTGTAAGCAGCCTTCAGCAAAAGCACTTTCACTTTTTCCAAAGTCACCCATGTCATCCTCACATAACAGGAAATGATCAGATAATAAAACTAATGCTGTAGCATATAAGAGTGAATAAAAATACCACCACTTTCTACTAAGCAAAAGAACATTCTCACAAAGAAAGAGACAGCACACAAAAAAATTGATTCTACATAATGACTTGGATATGCAAAGAATTTCAAAAGGATTGAACAATTTGGAGTAGCCATGATGTGCTCAGCACCAGTTCATACAAGACTTTATCCAAAACCAGTAAAAATCAATGGCAGATTTTCCATCAACTCTAACAGACTGGTTTGAGCCCTTTCAGTTCTGGAAACCAGAGTCCACAGAGTTAAAAGCAGATGAAAACCACAGCTAAATCCTGCCTTTTCCAACATGGAGCCATAAGACATTTGAATTTCCATCCAGAAGCAGCGCCCTCGGTTTCACAACTGGTACGTCAGGACTAGATTATTCCATCATTAGCAAGTAACAATGGAACACACCAGCTCATCCAAAGGTCACCAATTCAAATAAACTGGAAGAAGGCTGAGACTAATTTAAGGGTCCTGGGACTAATATGAAGGGTGATTTCATGCCAGTTAGAAAAGAAAAAAAAGCCTTGTCAGGAAGGAAGTAGGCATACACAGCTTCACAGAACTTTTGCTGTTACTGTGCCTTAAACAGCTGCTCTATGAGAAAGTGAAAAGCTATACTTTCCAGTGATTTACTCCAGCTTCGTCTCTTTAAAAATGGCTATACATTCATACAGCTGTGTTATTTAGAGTTCAAAGTAAGGGAGAAAACTCAAGCCTCTCTGTAAAGCAATGCAGTTAACCAATGCAACTGCATTGATTATGGTAAAGTCTCCTGAAAATTACCTTGTTATTACAGAAATTTCTTATAAAACAGCAAACCCTTTGCCCTGTTGTTTTGGATTTTCTTCTCAAGTGTTTATTCAGAAGGCAAAACGGGAACCAGAAAATCTAGAAAACTGTCTCAACATACAAGCAGTACTGAACTGTAACAGGAAAACAAACCATTTTTTATAAAAATATCCAGTCTATCAATTATGCAAGCATATATTTACGACAGACTAAGTTTTGTAAATAAACGCTAAATATGTTACTATAACTAGCAGATGGCTCAGTTGGAATGCACGAATTTTGTGTTAAGTTAAAATACTAAAGGGAGCACGGCTTATACTGTAGGAAAAAAATGTCCCGTTTGCCTTCCTGGTCAGACCTGGTATTTATTACAGCATTTTTAACCTGTGTTTCGCTTTCCTCCATCCGGATCACAGGAGGGTAAACAAGGTTTCAGGGGACCACGGGGCTATGGGGCTCCTACCACTCACCAGAACAGGTGCGATCCTTCCTTCCTACCGGCACCTGGCTTCATGGGGCTGACAATTTTGCCTTTTCCTTTTTACTCGTACGCTGCCTGATCAATCCACCCACTACAGCTCCCAAGCCTTGCTCCTCTATATTTAGTTAACAATTAACGCATTCGGCTTTTTAACTTCGCGGATTTCTGTAGTTGTTGCTGGTGTTGTCGCCGCCGCTTTAGAAAGTCAAATAGAAAACTTCAATGGATAAACTCTTAACGGGGAAATACCACCTATGCTGCAAACATAAATAAATCAGGAAGCGCCGGCAGCCGCGCACGCCGCCGCTCCCCCCGCGCGGCCCCGCCGCCCCCCGCGGTGATGAATACCGGCGGTGCCGCGGCTCCGTCCCTGCCCTCCCCGCCGGGCCGCGCCGCCGCTCGCCCCCCGCCGCCCCCGGATGCTGCTCTGCTGCTGCTGCGGGCGGGCGGGCGGCGCCCCGACGGGCCGGCGGAGCTCTGTCCCCGCCAGCGTTTGCGCGCCGCTACCGCCGCTCTCCCCACCGGTGACGGCTAAATATAGTGAGCGAGCGGCCGGGGAGCGCGGCTCGGCTCCCCCGCGCTCGCCCCGCAGTTCCCCGCGGGCGCTCCGGGACGCCAACCTGCGGAGCCGGCACCCCCTGCTCGCCCACGCCCGCGGTCGGGCGCGCTGCCCACCGGGTGACTCGCGGGACTTACCGGCGGAGCGCAGTGGCGCGCCTGCCCCGCGCCGCTCGCCGCCCGCCCGGGCGCGGTGCGGTGCGGTGCCTCTCGCCGCGTCCCTCCCGCCAGCCGCCGTCTGGCTGCGGACGTGACCTGGATTCCCCCCGCCTGCGCCGCCGCCTCCCGCGGGGCCGCGCACACGCCGCGCCGCGCTGCGCCCCCCCGGCCCGGCCCCGCCCGCCCCGCTGCCGCCACCGCTCACCTCCGGCCGCCGCGACCCGACCCGCCTCGCCTCGCCGCGCCTCCCCGAGCGACGCGCGGCGGAGCGGAGCCCAGCGCCGCGTTACGCAACGCGCCCCGCGGCCCCTCCGCGCCGCGGAGAGGGTCGCCGGTAGGCGGGCGCGGGGCGGAGGGAACCCGCGGCGGAGCCGGAGCAGAAACCGCCCCCGGCGGCCACTTGTAGCGCCGCTGGAGCCGGGATCCCCCCGGCTGCGCCGCGGCCCCGCGGGCCGTGCCCGGCAGGGCGGGCCCCGGGGCGCTGCCGGTGACCGCTTCGTTCTGGGGTCGGGCGGAGGGAGAGGTGCGGGCGCGGCCAGCGGCTGCGAGCGGCGGGGGAGCCGCCGCGCGGGGACCGCGGCGCTTTTCTGCTTTGGGTATTCAAATCCCGTGGCCGCGGGTCGTTCTGTCAGAGGGACCCGGGCACGGGAAGGGAGGAGGATTCCCCGTGGTCTGAGGCCGAAGGCAGCGGCCCCGCTAACAGCTGTGCCGCGCCTCAGCCTCTGGAGCGGGGCAGCCAGGGCAGTCGCGGCTCTGCGCAAACACAAAGTTAAAGGGCTTGTTGATGGCACGTCCTGCATCCGGCTGGGTTGTCCCGCTGTTGACTCGCATGCTTTTCCCATGGGTTTTGAGAGGCACACCCTGCTGCGAGGCCTCTGTCCCAAGGGTGCGGGCAGCCTCGGTGGCTGCTGGCGGCTGGCAGTCCCCTCTCTGCAGGAATGCCCGGTGAGGGCTCTCCCCCTACCCCCGCATCTCTCTGAGCTTGGGGAACCAAGGGGTCAGGGTGTGAGGGCCCCGCTGGCAGCTGATCCATGCAAGGAGTCGGCAAGAATGAGGTGGCTGTAACCAGCACACCAGCTCTGACAGGAAAATGAAGACTGATGGCCCTCTGGACTACAAAACCGGGGTAAATTGGGTCTCAGAAACATGATAACCCTCCTCAGGCCAGCACAAATGCTGCTCCTTGCTCTTAGCAAGGCAAGCAGGTCTGGGAGGCTCTAGGTTTCCTGGCCTTCAGTCACGCTCAGAAGAATGTTCTCAGAAAAAGATGACAGTACATCCCCACCACCCATCTCTAATTCATGAGGCCGGGAAAGCAAGGAAGAAGTACCCAGAGTCTCATTAACAGCTATCAGCCTGAGCGAGTAAGATGGCGTCTGAAGTAACAGGCGTGAAAGCAATAGCTACTTGAAAGAATAAGATCAGTTTGTTTTTCCTTAAGGAATTACAGGAATATTAAAGCCATCTTGCAGTTATAAATCATTTAATGCAAATCATTTAATCCAAACAGAATTTTTACAGGCTCATGAGGCTCACTCGGTTTGCCAAGAGTGAGTCATGTACAAATAAAATGAAACCAACAAAGAAAAGAGCTCTCATACCATGTGTATGTGGGTGATCCTTTGAAAAACTTGTAATTATTTTTTAACTCTACCACAGCCAGGAAGACAGGTTTGTAAAGCAAGAGCAAACCTTGATAGCTGTAGCCCATCCACATGTACTTTTTCATTCACCCAGAAAGTAGCACAACAGGTCCCTTGTCAGGTTAACAACAGCAATGGCCATCTAATGTATCAGCAGTCACTCAAACACCATGATTTCAAACCCAGTTGTGTGCTGACATACTAAGGCAGCGGAAGACTTTTTGAAAAAATGAAAATAATGTTGCGTGATTAATACTTAGTAAAATATTGCAGTAGGCAGTTAATCCCTCACTTATGGGTTAGCTAAGGACTTGAGTTAGACTTCATTCTTCACTCCCCGTGTCATAAATATGTGCTGCTAAACACAGAGCACGGCATGAGCCAGTGGGGTGGTGATGCACTGCTCTGAAATGACTAAAATGCAGGGATACAAAGCCATGTGACGGTGAGAATGGGAGCCTTAAAATGTGTCATCATCCCCATCGAATGACACCGACACAGAGCACCATTCACTGATGGCAACAGCAAATATTTGTGGATACTGGAGAGGCATGGCTTCCTCCTGTATTCTGATGCCAATTCCCTGCATCTTCTGGAATAGATGTGTCAAAGTATCTCAAAGTGTTCCTCTAGCCACCTACTTTGCGTGAGGACAGATGCTCTTGGGTCTTCACATGACCACAGTTTCCCTTCCATCTGTTTAGGCAGAAGATCATACTTGCATATGAACTGTATGTCCCCAGATTTGGGAAGTCCAGGACCCTAAGCCCTCTGCAACTTTCACTATCAATGCCCCCCGCTCAGTGCCTGAAACATTACTCCTGTCTGGCAAAAAGAAAGGTCCTGTTGTTCTCTTTGTAGTTTCAGGGTGTGCTGTGACTACCATACGTTCACACAAATGCTTTTCTTAGCGGGCATGAAATGAGAGTTCAGTACAACTGCAGGACATGTCAAAGGACATGTCTTTGAAACCCTGCAGTATCTGTGCTGCCTGACCTGCAGCAGGCACTAAAGAGGGAGGGAGGCGCAGAGGGAGGCAGCACATAGTTTGTACCAGGACAGTAATGACAGCCTTTTTCTGCTCTCTGAAAAGCAAAGTTCAGGTCATGTACAGGCACAGTTTCCCGCTGCAGCAGATATGCACAGCCTGTGACTTTGTTCACAAATGAAGGAATCAGAAACTTCCCTTCAACCAAAAAGCAACCCAACGCTGGCTCATCAATTGTCTGATAGCTGGACCAGGATGTAATCCAACTCTAAGATGAGATGGAAGAGAATTTGTACACCTTTCAGGGCATAAGTCTCTTGTCAAAGAAACTGTTCTTTCTTTTGCATTTTAACACAACAAGTTAACTCGGTACCTTGGCGGATTTCAGCTTTTTATCCTTTATTGCTCTCAGTTTACTTTTTCCTCCTACGTAATTTTTGTCTGGCTTTCACACCTCAGGGCTGCGCAGGCAAGGGAGAGCTTTAGCTTCTTTGGGCTCTCTAATGGTAATGGACATTGTGAACCTGATGTCAGCTGCCAGATTTCCTTGTTACTGGTTGGTTTGTTTTGCTCTACAGATCTTTAATTTTAGAGTGGTTGTTTGGCACATCAGTTCTGATACAAGTGACTTTGTGTTTTTGTCAGAAGTACTGCACACCTCACCTGTTCCATTTTTAATTTGTTTGTACACAAGCAGGCAGAGAGCACAGGCAATGAAACGTGAGCTAAGCTGAATGACTTGACCACCTAGCACACATTATCTGGTGGACAGGGGACTCTCTAATCACTTTCTGAAGGAGGGTCTTACAAGACATCCGGGTTTTATTTGCAATTTCCCAGGCCTCTTACTTCCTGAGTTCTACAGTGCATGAGGACACGGTGATTAAAGATGAAAACAATCATGGTAAAGCAGCAGTTTAAAAATTACTCCAGTCTGCTGATTAAATGAAAACTTCACCTTTTGGCAGACAAAGAGAATCCAAAACATTTTGTCTTTAAAATGTTAAAAAGAATGTGAAAATCAGCAAGCATACATGCCCCTTTTCATTTTTAGACAACCAGGAGTGAGTCAGCACAGCAGGAAAGCATCCTGTGTGAGTCCCTCTTTAAATGATGGATAAGCAGTGCTTATACACACAACAAAACTGATGGACAGTTCGTGACTGCGATGACTTTAGATTAATTTCCATTTATTATTAATGCTAGCTGAGGCCAATGTTCTCTAAATGCCATGAAACTCTTCAAAATATTTTGGTGTTAACTGAAGGTATTTGGCCTACCCTCTCTAGTCTTTGTCTGGGGAAAATATCCATTTCCTGGAGAAAAACAAAGAGGAAAATAAACCAGTAGTACTATATACTGATTTTTTTCTTCCTCATTTTTGATTTTCCAATACAGTGTAATATATGTCTGTTTCAGGATTTCTGGGGAATATAAAAATAACCTAATCTAACTTTGCTTTTGTACATACATCCCATTCCATCCTACCACCAGAATTCAAGCAGAATCAGAGCGGATGTGTGAGAACAGAAGAGAAAATGAATGAAAATTGAGACAAATAGGAAAGAAAAATAAATAACAAGAAGGAAAGCAAAAGAGAGAGAAATAAATCTGGAGGCACATTCTAACCTCCAACGCACAGTTCATATCCATTTTTGATCTGTCATGAAAAAACACAGCAGGGAGTTTTTTTTCAAGTTATGCAGGGTTGCACATGACACAGGAAATTAGTGCTCAGTCCACAAAACCAAATGAACACAGGCCAAAAAAACTGAACTGGAAGAAAACAGTAAGATTAAATTATTATCAAAAATTATTTTTTAAGGTCTGTATTTCTAAATTGCAGCAAGAAAGTATTGGGAAAAACAGGTCTCAGCTCTCCTAGACAGAAGCCATCTTCCAGACTAAACAGGAATTTGTGTTATGTTCTCCTTTTTATTGCAAAAGCTATTTTACTAAAAAAGACTATTTGGACTGTTAGCAGAGGATGATGTGCAGGTTCAAGAAAGTTCACAACATATCAGACAATTTATGGTCGACAAGTCCATCAATGGCCAATAAACATGATGATGTAATCCAGTGAAATTTCTAGTTTAGGAAATCCCCATATCCTCTGACTGCCAGAAGTTAGGAAATCCTACACTTGTTCTATTTCTTCCAAACTTTCTGTAAGCATCCTCTACTCATCAGCCAAGGGCAGCTGGGCTAGATGGGCTACTGGAGCAAACAAAACCAATAGTTTATTTTCCTTATTCTCTAAATAGATCATCAAGACCATTCTTGTCCTAGTGCCACCTGTGATGATCTTTTAAGAGTCATGCCTCCAAATTTCATGATAGCAGGCCTAGTTTGCACTTTCCAAAAATGCATATCAGAAACAACTTCACATTAAAAAATTAATATTAATGAAAAAAGTAGATGTCAAATGACAGGCTTCAGTAGCTCAGATCTGTAGCTTTTCCTTCATACTAAATGGGATGGTCAAGGAACACACTAGTAAGGAACAGCCCATCAGGCAAGAAGAAATAGCATTTAACTGGCCTGCAGAAAAGCCTCTAGTTTGAAGTGGTTATGGCAGCACCAAAAGCTAGCAACACAGTTCCCTTTCAGCAATGGGCAAGGGACATCTCTTTTGAGAAGAATCAAATGAAGAGTGAATACAGCTGGGAGAGAAGGTGGAGTGGGAAGACGTGTAGAGGTCCTATTGAAACCAGATCCCTTGTCCCAAACTGCAGTGGTTTCAGTTAAAAGATTAGGGCTTGGAAAGGCTCCTTCAGTTGGAATAATTATAACTGGGTTACTCTTAGGCAAAGCTAAAACACACTAGAGAGAGTCTTGATTTTGGAGGCCTGACAGAAACAAGAGCTTTGCAAGTTCTCTCATTCCTAATCCAAGACCATATGGAGCTCAACTACCAGGTGGGTGGGCGTATTTATTGAGGGATCGTGCAGCTCGCCCTATTCTAAATCAACTTCATAAGCGATCATTACTGTGGAAAAGAGAGCAAGAAACATAGACATGCTGGGAAACAACCTCCACCTTAGAGTAAAAATAACAAAATCTAGGAATTGAGATTCTACCTTTCTACTAAGTTCAGAACAGAAGGTAGAAGCCTGCTATCTCCACTCTGGAGAAGATGTCATCTACTCATTTCAGTAAGTAAAAACATGTAAAATAATGCTTTATAATCTTCCCATTCATCCTCCACTCTTGCTTTAACAATATTTTGCTAAGCTTTATTTTAGCAGGCCTAACACATGCAACAAATGAGATCACTTTACCATCTTCATTCTGAATCCATTCATAGCTGAATTTCTGGAAGATTTTGGAGATACGCACAGAGTTTTCATGGAAATATTTTGGTTCCTAAATTCTCTTGAGAGAACTGGGACAGAAATATTACCGTGGTGCTAGCAGAAATGCTATAATGGACAGCACTATAATTCTATTAGTTCAGAATGCATTACCATTTTTTGCCCCAAGTGTAGCACATAGTGTCATATATATACCTACTCAGTGTAAAATGTAGTGCTGGTGGATTTTCAACAGTCATATTTCAGTAAATGCCAAATTAAACTCAATTTGCCTGACATACAAGAGGAAAGTGTCCTCCGAGTGTGATTATGGTCTTCATGTTGTGATATTTATGCTAACAGTGTCTGCAAAAGAAGCAGTTCCTTCCCCCTAGAAAACCTGATCTGTCAGGAATCCCAGGAGGTACTTTGGAGGCCTGCTTGAAAAACCTCTCTGTAGGAAGGAAGAAGAAGGAAGAAGAGTCCTTCTAAAGAGTCCTACTTTAGTCAAAACTCTGGCTCTTCAAGTGACCTTCAAGCACTGCAGCAGAGTGGCAGTGCTACCTGGTGTGCATAAAGCTTTGCAGAGGGAAGTGCCTCAGTAAAAGCTCTTGCTTGACTTACAAAGAGCAAGTATAGCAACTCATGGCATAGCTATGCATAGCATAGCATAGCAGTGCTACACTTTTTTTTAGATACCCGGTCAGCTGAAACCCAATAACATTAAGATTAAAAACTTACTTATGACCCACATGCAATAAGTAGTATGGAAACACCTACAGGTCCTTCCTGATGTGCTCAGACCCACGGCTATGAACTCCTGGAACAAATTAGAAACTGGCACTACCGTAATAGCTGGGTATCTCCTTTCTTTAGGATACATCTGAATGAGCAAAACATGAACAAACAAGCAATGGATGAGACAGATAAATTGCTAATTCCAACATGCAGGAGCCTCCTGCTCATTAACTTATCCACCCTAGTCAGTCCTCTGACTGTAGAAAAAACAATCCAAATCTATACTTGTATACCATGGAAATAAACAAATTATAAATGCACAGAGACAGGCTGAACCACTTGCATGTTGTTTTTAAATTATCTTTATGAAAACGAGAACTTGGGGAGGAGCTGGAATGATTAGAAACTGATGATGGCATACAATACTGGCTTCTCCTTCCTCCAAACATATCCCTTCATTACTTTAAATTCACCAGGTCTTCAGACACACCAAGAGCAGTTGGTTCTTTCTAAAGACTTTTAGAAAGCTTCTACTTAAACTTCAAGCACTGTGAAAAGGAAATAAACTTTTCAGGAAATCTTACCTGTTTAAACCACTTTTTAATAGTCTAATGATTTTTTTAAAAACATCAATTTGAATTTTGCCAAAAGTATCACTACAAACCAGAATTAAAGTGCTTCCTCACCCTGATTATAAAATTCCTGAAATAACATAATAATGTGAAGGGAGGAAATTCTATCAAAAAAAAAAGTACATTTACTGTTCACTGTAGCACTGTTTTTCATCATCCAGCATTGAAAATGTCCATTAATAAAATAGAATTAATTGGTTTTATAACAATTCTGGTGCAAAATCTTTTTGAAACTCTAACTGATCCTCCAAATGAGCTTTATTAATCATTGATGGGAAACTGGCAAAATCCTACCCCGTACTTTGGCAACCTTTCAAAATGTCCAATTAGGTCAAATCAAGAAAGTCCCAGAAACCAATTACAGCAGCACTTCTAAGCCAAAAAATCTCATTGTACTCTGAAACAACTGCAACATTATAGAAAAAATAAACAAAACAAAATTAAAAAAAAAAAAAAAAAACAACAAACCAACAACAAAAACCAAAACCCCTCACTGTTGCTCTGGTTATGCACCTGAATTACCTCCTCCCTAGAAACGTGCCAAACAGCCACTCCTTGAACTACATCAATTAATGATATTTGCTCACAAATTTTATTTGTAAGTGCCATAAATGTCACCAAGCAGTTCACCACAAGGAACAGTGCCAGCCAGCTCCTTAATCTGTCAAGCGAACACATGCTCCCCTTCAGCATTTTTATGTACATCTCGAATCCAGTGCTCTAATTGCACATGTGTACAACGTCTCCACCTTTTTTATGGGCTTCGTGTGTTCTGTATCTCACCTGCATGTTTGTACATTAACAACTATGTTGACAATGTGATAAAAATAATCTTGGCGGCAAGAACAATAGCGACCTTTATCTAACTTCTCAAGAATGCGATCTTTGCTTCGGCAGAACTTCTGCACGTACAGCCCTATGGTGCTGGTGGGCTGTTTGAGGTGTGTTTTGCTGCCAATCCTAATCCCACCACCCACAGCTAAGAATTAATTAGAATTTGAAGATGCCAGAGGGAGGCAAAACAAACAAAAATAGCATTTTAATTAACTGCAAACAATACTTAAGATTTTGCATTGTGTTTAGCATCTGTATATTTCTGGACTTACTGCAGTGACTCTGAAACTAATGAGATCGTCCATTGAAATCCCGGAGGACTGGACAGATCTCAGATCCTAAGTACATCTCCTATAATATCTCAAAACAGTAAATAACTCATTCGTCCTTACTATGAAGACCAGTAACTAAAATTTTTAAAAAACAACACTGTAAATGTACTTAAATCCATATAACCTGGCCAGACCAAAGGAGAAAAAATGTGCACACATATAGTAAGTAGAGTCTGAGTTTCCAATTCCAGAAGTATGCCTGTTCTGCCATTTCATAACACAGTGGTCCCTACTTTGCCATACTTGGTTATTTAGTTGGTTAATTTTATTTATATGTTTATTTATTTACTTACTTACTTATTTACAGTCTCCTTTTACTTTTCTAATAAAAGGAGACCTTTTTAACTGTCATTATTCCAACAAAATTAGGAAGGTGGTGTTATATGATCTATTACACCAGAGTAATAAAAGTTATTTGCAACATTTTCCACTCCACTGCTCTTTAATTACAATGTTGAGACTCAGAACCCTCTAAAAGTCCTCCTATGTATATTAGTTACTCAGTTTTTTTGTCATTTGATCTTCAGCTTGCTAGTTTTACAAACAGGATCTCAGCAGTTTATCTCAACACCAGGTATTACATTCCTTTGACTCGTGCCTGATGCAGTTCCCTGTCATTCAGAAATCAAACCTCTTAACAAAAATCTCCTTACCTTCACCAGGAGGACAGGTAAAGTTCCTGCAGTTTTACTTTACCATAGGACCTAGTCATACAGGAGAGAGGCAAGGGCTTCTCTTGCACCTGTCTCTAGAAGCCTAAAGGAAAACACCTCTCTGAAGTAACCAGGTGGCTTTTGTGTTCTGTTGTTTTCCAAAAACAGCTAGACCAGACTCTTAACAGATATTAACTATGGCTAAACCCTTAATTCACCAAGGACGAGGACAGAACTCGTTATACCATTTGTATAAAGCAGCCCCAATAGCTCATTTGAATTATAACCACTATATGTCAGACCAGTGCAACATTTTAGCTAATATGTTGAAAGCTTTGTGTGGATCCTTTTTTTCCTCCCATTACTGGTTTATTAATCCATTAATATCAAAACCAGGAAATGTTTGGAAGATCCTGCATATCTCTGTCTTTCAGCCTAAGTTCCATTGGTTCCTCAAGTTTCATAGGTTCCATATGTTCTCCCTTACATTTTGCTAAACTTGTAGGGACAGAACTGATTAGGAATGATATTTTTGTTTTCCCCTCCACAGAACACTTTTTTAAATGCAAATGGCATAATTGTAATGGAAGTATTAAGAACTTCATAAAAACAGTAAAAACAAACTGGTCCATATTCAGGAAGCCAAGGTCAGACCTAACTGTGAAGTTTATGTCAGGATGTATCCCAATGGAAGATACCTTTTGTTAGAATGGCTGCCATTTTTTATAACTGATTGCAAATGGGGCTGAATTGCTTTGTTGATCTGGAAAGGTCAGGAATTTTAGTCTGTTTTTTCTCTAATTTTATTTATGTAATGCCTTTTCTTTAGCTGTCTGTATTCTCGTAACTGCACCACACTGTTACATTTGTCCTTCTACAAAAGCTTTCCTTCCTTTTTATTCATGGTTTTGGGTTTTTTTTTTTCCTTTTTGCTTTTTTTGTTTGTTTGTTTTTTGGTTTTTTTTCTGTTACAGTGTCAAACATCCCATCAAAAATGCTACATTTTCTTTGGGTAGGTGAAGTAATTACTTGCCTCCTTTCTTTACATAAAATGCTGGTTTGTCATGGCCTAGAAAGCCCAGCTTGGTACAGGATAGCTATTAGGCTGTTCCTGGTCTGCAGGACATCCTGTAACACAGCATACCTCATAGTTGTATATGTGCTGCTGTACACAAGTGGCTGAACCTCAGCCCTTATCACAGTTGCCCCTTCTAACTGGCAATACTTTCCAGGAAACCTCACAATCTTTTGTCTTTCAGGTGTATATAAAATCTGTATTTTCTGTAAGTGCCTTTGGTTTCCAATGCCCCGTAAGGGAGTTTCAGGTCTTCCTCCTTAACTGTCTTGGCCTTGCTCCTGACATCCCTTTGTCATGACAGACACATCATCCTCTATCAGCTGTTTTCTTGCTCAGTCCTTTTTCTGGAAGTGCAGCCCATAGTACATTCAAGAATTTTGTGGGTTTCTCCAGAGTATCTTCATGTGCCAAGAAAATAAAACAGCGAAGTCTCAGAGTCTGGGGTTCTAGCTTTATCTGCCATCCACATAGCAAAATGAGCTCACAATTCCTTAGGACAGCAGTGTGGCATCCTCCCCTCTCATATAAAAGTCTCCAGAAAAGCCTGGAGCAGTTCAGCTATCTACCTATGCTGTTTCCTTCTCTCTATTCTTGATCCTTTTCCACAATTTTTCTGCAAGCTACCTCTCTTTTTTGTGTATTTCTCGGGTTGATGTCCAGATGGTGACAATTTGTGTAATGAAAATTAATGTAATTTATCTCCTGCATTTCACCTTCTTTCTGAGTAACAATATCCCATGTGTTTTTTGTTTGTTTCTCTTAAGCTAGTCAACTTACTCAAAAATTACTTTCTGAAAATGTTTGTGTTACCTGGAGCACTTAAATTTCTCTTTAATAGGATGTTTCCATCATTATCAAAGACATTTCTTTTGATTTAACGTTTTTCCTGGCCCTTTTTTCTCAAAACATTTTCATTGCTGCTTTTTCCCTGAAAACAAAGTATTGTTGTGTTAGCAGGTTCCCTTTCTTTCTTTCTGCTAGGCCTCATTTTTTAAGAGATTTCCTTTTTAAATCTGAGACAATATGTCTTTCTTCATTTCCCTAATAAATCCTGATACCATTTCCCAAGCCTTTTTTCCTAACAATGCCTTCTCATTTATTCTGTTCAAGTTTTATCTCAACTGCTCAGTATAAATTTATATTAGAATCTGTCTATTTTCAGTTTATGTTTATTGATTCAAAGAGAAAGGCCAAGAGCTTAAACTTTTGTAGCCAAACATGCTGTTGTGCTTTAAATTCTTAAGCAAGCCTTACCCCTTTTGGCAACTTTGCCTGCATAAATTGACTATATTAACCTTTTTTAAATGATACACAGTATCTCTCTCTTTTCCTTTGCCACTGGCTTAGTGCCCACAGTGTTTTCTTTCTGGTATGCTTTCTGGGGGGAAAGAAAAATCTTTAAGGTGGGAAAGAACCGTGGTTTGATTATGGTGTATGTTCTGTAAGTGCCTGCATTTTGTTGAGGTTCTTTCTGCTTTTCACTGCCTCCTGCTTGCCCCAGGGCACATCTGCTCCATGCTGCATGACCCAGCAGAGCGTCCTCCTGCGACGGCAGAGCTCCCTTCGCCACGTGTTTTGCGCTGTTTTGGTAAGACAAAGCCCTACCCCAAATGGACGAAGATTGCACTATGACAGAGATGCAAGACAGAGAGTCAGAACATGCACTCTCTACTCCTCAGCTCTGCCACCTGTTGCTGCAGGACTTAAGTTACTCCATATTCCATTTTCCACATAATACTCTGTTAGTTTGTTTACATCACTCCCGCAGAAGCATCCCACGGAACACCCTATGCAACTCTTATGTTTTGGGGTTTTTTTTCCATGAGGGATATTGACTTCACTCGAGTAGGAGGCCAGCAGCACCCATAAAAAAAACCAAACAACACCTGGTTCATGATCATTTGTAGTCACAAGTAAGGTTAACAAACAGCCTTCCTACATTCGCAGAGAGGTTCCTATAACTTGTTTCAATTTGTCGGCTGGTCACGGAGCGCAGTCTGGAATGATAACACACGGCCGCTGCCGCCTGTGACCCGAGATCCCCAGGGTTTCCCAGCTATCTCCCATGCTGCCATCCCAGCTGAGCTCAGCGCTCCCACACGCGCCTCCAGGGAAAGCGCCTGAATTCCCTACGGAGCAGCCCGGCCCCTCCTGCGAGGTCTGAGTAGTTCCCAGGGGTGGAATGAGCTCTGCAGCAGCAGCAAACACGACGTAGCCCTTCCTGGAGCTTATTTTCTTCCCGTGTAGCCAGCAAATACGTCTGGCAAAACGCGGGGCCGGGGGACGCTCAGACACGCTGCCAGCTCCAGCCCGGTGCTCGCCGGCGCGGGGAGCCCGAGGCCGGGAGGGGGTCCCGGCAGGGCTGGGAAGGGGAGGGAGCGGATTGCCCGGGCGGCGGCACACCGGGGCCTCTCCGCCCGGCGGCAGGCCGGGCCCGGGCTGCGGGGGCGGCCGGCGGCGCCGCTCCCGCCCGGCGCCTCTCCATCCCCGCCGGTGCGGCCGCCCCAGCCCAGCGCCGGCACCGCAGCGCGGCCCGGTTCCCCGCCCGGCCCGCCTGCGGAACCGCCGCTCGGGCTGCTCGCTCCCCCCGGCCCCGTCCCTTCGGCCGGCGGGGAGAGCGTGCGGGGCGGCCCCCGGGGGAGCGGGGAGGGACGCGGCGAGTCTCACCTGCCACAGGCGAGCGCCGAGCGGGAGGCGCCGGGGCGGCTGCGGCGCTTCCTGCGGCGGGAGGCGGGCGCTGTCCCCGGGTGACCCCGCGGGGGGGCCGGCTGCGGGACGCTGGGCCGGGGGGGCCGGGCGGGCGGCTCTCCCTGCGGAGGGAGAGGGAGAGGGAGAGGAGAGAGAGAGACGGAGAGGGGGAGAGGGAGAGGAGAGGAGAGCACAGCGCAGCGCTGCGGAGCTGAGCGCCGAGATGGCGCGGAGCGCTGGACACGGCGGCGGGGACAGCGCAGGGTCCCGGAGCGCTCCTCACGGCTCTCCTGAGCGCTTCTCCCGGCTCGGCCGGGGACGGGACCTGCAGCGTCCCCGTCGCTCGGCGGACAGAGGCCCCACCGCGGCAGCTCTCCGCGGGAATGCGCCCTTTCTGCAGCCCAGAACTGCGGGCGAACGGATTGTGTGAATGCGGGCGGTGTGGAGCGGTACGGGCGGTGCTGTGGCTAGCGGCGGAGTGCTGTGGCTAGCGGCGGAGTGCCGAGGCAGCGCTCGGGGCCATGGCCGCTCGCCCGGCGCCGAGCCCCGCTCCGCAGAGCCGGCCCGCAGGCAGCAGCGGGTTGCGTAAGAGCGGCCGCTGCGCCCGGGCTCCGGGAGGTGGTTTTGCGAGCACCTCGTGGTCACTGGGCACCGGCTGTCTTACGGATTGCAAAGAAGTTTATTTGTTGTGGGTTTTAAAAATTATTTTATATTTAGTTTTAATTTTTTTTCCTTCTCACCAGAGGCCAGATGTGGAGGCTGACCTATGGAGCTGCTAAAATAGACATCCTCTTCACTTACAGGTTTTCAATGTTGTTTTCTGTTTTTCACATCTCGACCCGCAATTTTTACATGTGATAAGGCATAAAAGGAAAGAAAAAGACACAAAGGCGTAGTTTAGGTATCACAGTGCTGCTTGCATAAGAAATGTCGAAGTAAGAGAAGCACGTACATGACTCCTACTAGGGGATGCAATTAATTTGACTAGACAGCCTCATAATATCACGGTTCAAAAGCAGTAAAAGGATTAAAGCTCCATCCCAGTTCGTATTTAAGTTTCTAGAACACAGTTACTCTATAACGTGATTCTGCTCTGAAAATGGGATAGCACGTGCTTACTGTGTATCAGGGCTTTCTACACCTTGTTTCTGCTCAGATTATAAATAGAAGATGTTGCCAGTGAATTACAATCTGCAAAGCCAGTTGGGATTTTCTTTTCAAGTAATAGAATAACTATTTAAGTACAGAAATACATTAAAATAATACTTTTATGCACAGTTCAGTATCTTCAAGTCTTCACTAAAGAAGAGTACATTTTACTCAAAAGAAGTATAAGTCCCCATAATCCATGTGAAACTTGCTATGTATTTAAACAAACATGAATTTGGTCCTGAGTCCTGGCAGCACACTGCTAGAGAGTCTACCCATATCATGTTTGTGGATCTATCAAATTCAGAACCCACTGTAATGATCAGCTCTCTAGAAAAGTCTCAACATATTCTGGAGGCCTAAAAAAGGACCATTCTTACTCTAGAGGTAAAAAAATAATGTACTTTAAGATATCTAGGGCTGATGAACGGGATTACCTTTACTCATTTTTATACAAATTCAGAGCTTTTCATCTTGCAAGGATACGTAAGGTGTCCTATAAGTCTAGTTGCTCTGTATAGGAGGTCTGTAGGCTAGGACTGTAATAAGCCAACAAAAGATGCTGTTCCATGCTTTTTTAATGAGAGAGGAGAGGGGAGTGATGACAATAAAATAAAAAAAATCAATGACAAAGGAGCAAGGTAAAGACAAGCAAGGACATAAACTTCACCTCAACATAGCAGGTCAAGGGAAGCAAGCTGGATTTTTGATAGGGGTGTTGTAGACAGGAGGATAAGGAGAGATAGTGACCACCAGGAAAGAAGACTGTCTTCAAGACCTTTCCTAAGATACATTTTAAGTTCCTATTTTTTTATTATTTTTTTTAAATGTGGAATCTCTATAGTTCCATCCAGCAGCAAAGGAATGGATCTAAATGATACAGGATTTTACTATTGATGCGGTCTTATTTTTCTCTTTGGTAAAGGACCAAATAGGAAGACACAACTGGCTGGAGCTGAGAAGAACTGGGAAACATGTTAGAGTAGACAAGTGTAATGAAAAAGAGTGTTTGGAGCAGGGTTTGCAATTTTGCTATTCATGCTTCCTACTAGACTGTCACACTATTTTCTATAATGATTTTTTAAAGTATACACATAAAAATTACTAGAATTGTCTTTCTGTGCTTTTATACCAAAAATGGATATCTTCTCCTGCAGATTTTGCCCTTAAAATTTTGAGTAGGGTGAATCTACTGGAAAAACTCCCAAGCAGCCAGTGCAACCAGATGAAGCAGCTGCTGGATGCACAGGCATTGTTTGAGTTTATTTCAGCCATTGCAGTGTTTTTACCCTTCTGTCCAGCACACGGTGGCACCTGCTTTGCTGCATCATACAGACTCAAAGGAATTCACAAATATCCTCAGTTTTCATGACCTGAATTTCATAGAAGCCCATGTAAAAGGCAGGTACTTACTTTCTGAAGTGGTGGCTGTTCCTTAGTTTTGAAGCAGCCACCCAGGCATTCCTCCTGCTCTGGGAGCCCTTGCAGTGGGAGGGGGGCAAGGGGAGGTTGGCCAGAGCTGACCTTGGTGAGGGCCACCAGGAGCCTCCTGGCAGCAGCCAGGTGGGCTCCACACACAGCAAATTTTATGATCTTCATGGTGGGGAGTCCTTCAGAGTGTTCAGCACAAGGCGTCCTTTTAGCTCTCCTTTTTTGCTTACATTTCTGTATGTACTTTTACCCAGTGCATTCTTCATGTTTATTACCAACACGTAGTGCAGATACAGCTATCATTTTTTGTTGTTGTTGTTACTATCTGATAAATCATACTGTTAAATTTTACAAAATTTGTTTGAAATTCACTTATTTTAAAAATTACTATTTTACTGAGTTTAAGTTCTCAGAGTGTTTTATCAGACTTCTTAAATGAGTGCCTGTACTTCTGGTAGATTTCCAGCTTTCCCATCCATCTGTTCAGTTGAAAATAACATGAATTGAATATTCAGCTTGTTCTTTAAGTTGTAGATCTTCAAGGACTGAATCTTCTTTAAGCAGATAAATGCAGCTGCTGCCTTGCCAATTTGTGACATGATTTCATTCTGGATATCCCCACTGGCTTGCATATTACTGCCAAGGTATTGAGACTGACTCATCTCTTGCACTCTTTTGCATTCTAAAGCAATGCTTGAATTTTAGGTTTCTTGTTGGAATTATTTTTTGCATATTTTTATTGTTAACCCTATGGTTACTGTCATGCTCAGTAGTCTTTAAACTCACCTTTCCAGATGGTTTTTCATGTCTGAGTGGATACTGAAGATCTTAGTCTCTAGTAGAATAAAATTTCAGCATATTGCTCCTGAGCCATTTAACGTCTAGTAGTCTGACTGCCTAAACTTTTCTGATAGTGAATTAGTAGCAACCCCGAAACATTTGCTACTTGCACTGTCATTTTTTGTTGATATGCATTCGTATAAAAAACTCTGGCATCTCTTTGTTCAATACAACCTTATTCAATGTTAATCATCTAGCAGAATATTTTATCTCATTTCACTCATGCTTTCTCTGTGCATGCTGCACCTGGATATAAAGCTGTGTTGATATTAATTTCTTTCCTTGATATAAAACATTTCATCAAGATACAGCAAAATATATCAGAAGAGAGAATATAGAATGCTTCTGTGAAATGTGTATGGTTTATATCAGTATTTTTTTGCTATTCAGTTTTCCTCTGATGATTGTTTTTAGTCTGTGCTCATACACACTCTGGAAAATTAATGTAACAACAAATAATAGAAAAATTATGCATGACTGAAAAAATTATGTATGCACAAGGGCAAGTGCCCTTTTCTACACTAGCAAAAAATTTAAGTGTTTATATGGAAAAAGATGCACTCTAGCTTGCTAAGGTCAGGTGCTGGCCAGTCACAGGTAAGATCACCACACAGTGTATAGTGGAACTAGGAGTAAACTAGTTATCTCTAAGCCAACAGTGATCCTGTGAGGGAAATATCTAATAAAGTTCACCTGGACCAAAGTTTCTGCCTTGAGCTTTGCTTCAGCCAACTCTCCACATTAAAAGATTTATTCACCAAGAATAAAGGAGCAGACAAATTTTGTACAAGTCGTTTAATGGACTTTTCTGATATTGTTACTGAAAGAACATAGGCTTAAGAATTTGGAAAGGGAAAAGGCCTCAGCTGTGCAGTGGCTCTCACCCAGTAAATGTGGGCTACCTGGACAGCTCCTGTCCTGACACAGCCATTGCTTCTGTCTTCAGCATAAGCCTCCCTCTCAGCTTTCTAGTTACCTTTCTTTTCATGTGATCCCCAATGAAATCTGCAAGAGGTGATATTAAGAGACTAACTAAACCCCTAGGTGGTCTGGTTTGTTGCACCTGCAGGAAAGCAGGGCTATTCATGTGTCAAAAAATGGATTTCAGATAGTAAAGAAATGCGGATTTGTGACATTTCCAGTAGGAACATATAAAACAATTTCATTATGTCTTTCTGATCCAAAGCACACTGAAA